TCAACTCCCATGCTGGCTGGGGAATTCTGGGAGTTAAAGTACACTCATCTTAAAGTGGCCAAGTTTGGACAACACTGATGTACAGGAATGCTAAAGCAGAAGCTGGACTAATCAGGATCCCTCCTCATGTCATTTATACCCATGCCAGAATGTTTGTAGTGCACCTTTCCACACTCACAGATGATAGGGATTTATTTTGCTAGCTAACTCCCATCATTCTCCCTCATTAGGTTAATGAAAGCTTCACTGCTAGTCCACCAATGTGATTTCCAACTTTCTGTTCATTAGTCTTACCTAGAATGCCACCTAGCAAACATTTGCATATTTTGTAAGCTGAACAAAGACACGTTTTCACATTTGTAGAAATTCATATCTGAATTTTTGTTTGAAGTACCCCTGAAATACACTGTTCAGTAATTAATACATTCAACAGACATCCAGAGAACACTGTAACATCTGCTGTCACGTCTGTTTTATGTTTAACTTTGTAATTCTGACAACTTGCTCTATTTCTACTATTTTTTAAAGGATGTACCTTTTTTCTTCTCTCTTCTTTTTCAGACAATATCTGATTTCTCCCACAAACCTGAATTTCCAGAATATAAATGGTCTTCCTTTCTTCTCCAGCATTTCATTTCCTATTTGGAACCATTCTATTTCTGACGGGACGAGCAAAGCAGAGGTATGTTTGACCACAATTCAATATTAGACAGATGTTTGCCTTATGGAAGGAATGGGCCTCCCCAAAACTGGTGGGATCAGGGCATCTATGGTTAAGTGCTGGGCTACCAGCATACCATTCATATGGACGCTCACTGATCTGGCAGTGATAGTTGCATCATAACAATAAGGATCAATGTAATTGACAGGCAGTTTTTCCCTTGGGGGTGCAGAGGCCTTGTTTTTTCATTTCTGTTCCACAGCAGCACACATTTCAATGTACTTTTTGGCCATCTTTTATTATGTAGATAGACAGATTGGTGTGTTTTTTATAGAAAATATTTCCTTTCATAAAAAATAGAAACACTGGGCATAAAAAATGGAGATACCATAAGTATTTTTCAGTTGAGACAGCTGGGTTTTCTATCTTCTATAGACTGTAAGACATTTAAAAAAAAGAAATCCCACACATCAGTTAAGGCTTACATAAAACAGAATCTCAAGACTGAAATTAGAAATACATGTCAAACTCAAGAGAATCAAAACAAAGTTGCATGATAGCTTCAGAGTTTTCGTTAAGACTTTGCATCTGTTGAACCTGATTCTCATTACCTTTCCAAAATATTAAAGATTCTGGGGGCGCAATCCATCCAGAAATGGAACAATGTTATGAGTTCAGTGGAAGAGAATTAAAGTTTAAATAATGGCACCTGAAAATACTGAAATCTGTCAAACTCACTACTGGATCCATGGTTCTCCACAAGAACTCATCTTCGCATTATCCATAATTTGGGTATTCCTCCTTTGCCTTGTTCATCTATTCATATCTCTTGTGGGAAATCAAACCAAAATCTGCAGATGTTGCAAATTTTCCATTCTTACTTACTGCAAAAAATAATAGCAGTACTATCTATACAGTAGATAGAGTGAATATATCAAAGCCTTTTGTAATGGGGCAGTGTGTAAAGAAAAACAAAGAAATTGACAGTGATTTTTCATGCACGAACATGAAATTGGCATCATTTCATAGTCAAGCAGACACAATAAAAAGTTAGTTGCAAAAATTACTAATTAGGGCAATTGGTTCAACTAAGATATTGATTCAGCTGGGTGCCACAGAATCTTTATGTAAGAAAACTCTGTAGCAGAGAAGACTCAGAGTTTTGAGGCTGTTCATATTCTCTTAAAAGGAGAATCATGGGAATAAAAACTACTGTTAACACCAGCCTTTGAATGAGGGAATGATTTCTTCACTCCTGCTTCTCAAGTGTCTGCAAAAAGGTAAGTAAGAGTGCTGTGAAGCTCATGGATGTCCTTCCCTATTGGTTTTTGGAATATAAAAACACAGGTTAAAATAAACAAACCTTCTTGTGCCAGAACTTTGAATATACAGTCTACATTGCCATAATGACCATCTCAGATTCTTTATCAAAATTCAAATACTTCTAAGAAAAGGTAGTTTACATAGAAAGAAACAGGTAAAAGAAAAATTCTGAAACAATCAAGCCTGTACCTGTTATATATATTTCTTGATCGTCCATTTCTCCATTATTCAAAACAAAGCCCCAAATTTGGTGAAATGGCAAGCATATAATTAAAAAAGGTATTATGTGCTTTTTAAAAGAATGCATGTATGTAGGTATGGATTGTGGTGGTGTGGTAGCCTTTTGACCAGTGTGATGGTCCTCCAATTTGCATTGGGGGAAAAGCTTTCTCCATCTGTGTGATGGGCATCTCTCATCTAATGTGGCCCATAGTGATTCACAGTCAAATATATATTCCCTCAAAAGCATTGAAGGGGAATAAAAGTTGGGGCAATGGTGATGAAAACTGTGATGTAGTGTTCATACCTACAGGCTGAAATGTTCCCTTCAATTCTCTGCCTTTTAGAATGATGAACATTGAGAGGGCGAACTTATTGCTTTAGGGAGAGAAATTCTACCGATTAGGGAAGAGATTGGAACCGTATGGGAATAATGGATGAATGAGGATGAGAGCATCTTTTTCTTTCTTCCAGAATAGGTTTACTGCCATGATACTCCTATGCCCTTCCAACCTCATCCTTGGAATGACTATGTTTTATGACACAGCATCAA